TCAGATCTAAAATTTGAGAACTGCATTAGGAATATTTTTAACGATGCCCATTTCTAACCCTCTTTCCACCCTCACTCTAAAACACATTCAAATACCACTGAGTGGAACATTTATTAAATAATGAAGAAGATGTCGATGATAATTATTATTGATTTTATTTCATTAAAAGAATGAAAAATTAAATTACGAAAACAGCCTGATTATTAATGTAATACTTTTTATATAAATTGTAGTACTGTTTACATTATTTAAATATTATTTGTTAAAAAAGTTATTTTTAATGTTTTCCTTTAAAAACTCTAAATTATTACATGTAATAATTTTTGGAATACATACAGGTATTATTAAAAATATTATAACACTTTGTTCAACAAGTCCCGGTACTAACTAAGAAAACAACATCCATTTCACAAAATTCACGTTTATTCATCAATATAATCACCATCAAGAGCTATGCAATAATTCCAACACTTTTCTAACTTTTTGATACCATGCTTGTAAAACAATTTGTCCTTGTCTACAAAATAAGCTTCAGCATCAGCGATGACTTCCTCATTCGAGCCACATCTTTTTCCCTGTAGCATATTTTTGAGATCAGCAAACAGCCAGTAGTCACTGGGAGCTAGATCTAAAAAGTAAGGGTTATCTAGTAATCGATGGGGGCTAATAAAAAAATCATCTGGTCGCTGGGGGCTAGATGATTTTTTTCTTCTTCATGTGCAGTCTTTTTTTTTTTTTTTTTTTTTTTTTTTTTTTTTTTGATAATTACTTTTAGACACACCAATAACTCACTGTAATAGGCACTATTGATATATTTTTCCCTTTCAAGGTAATCGATGTAAATTATACCTCTCGCATCACAAAACATTGATGCCATGACTTTGCCAGCTGACTGTTGCGTTTTTGGACACTTCAGACGACTTTCACCAGCTGCATGCCACTCAGCTGACTACCGCTTCGATTCCAGAGTGAAATAATGGATCCATGTTTCATCCACTGTCACATACCGACGCAAGAAAGCTTGTTTATTGCCAGTAAAGCGTGACAAACAGCTGTGTGAATTGTCAACTCGTTGTTGCTTTTGTTCCATTACAAGAGCACGTGGCACCCATTTGGAAAACACTTTTTTCAGGCCCACCTTTTTCATGTAAAATCATACGCGCACTTCCAGTTGATGTGTTCACCATCTCCAATCTCACAAACTTTCTCTTTACGGTCATTTATCACGATTTTCAACACTTGTTTCACATTTTCCGGAGTGACTGCTTCATTTGGCCTAACCGAGCATGCCACATCATTTGTATCCGTGCAACCGCGCTTGAAATCAGCATACCGTCGACAAATGGTTGTTTTCGATGGAGCAGAGCCTGGATAACATTTTTCAAGCCATTGCTGAGCTTGGAATGTATTTTTGCCCATTAAATAGCAATGTTTAATCAACACTCAAAATTCGTTTTTCTCCATTTTGTCCACAAATGCACAATAAGTGTCACTTTCACAACAGTAGCTTCGTTATTTCCAGTCCGAATGCCATGAAAATCAGACATGTGTCATTTGAACGTTAGTTCATTTGAATAATGAAGTCAAACTGATATTACTACACCATCTGTAGGATAGTTCCGGGACTTTTTGAACGATGTGTTATGAGTTATGGTATGATTTCGTAGTTACTTTTATCGAATATAGACATGTATGGATATAATTAATTTGAATGTGTATATAGGTGTGTGCATTTACTTTTCTATCTCAAATGAAAAAATATATAGGCATGGCTCTGCTTGAAAGTATCATTAGGGTTGTCCTTGCTGTTTCACGCCAACGTTAACAGTTAGTGAAAATCATTGGCTCTTCACTCAAAAGCTAATGGAATGTTTGACTTTTATTATGACTAAAACTAAAAATACTACTTTTTCTTTATATCAGAGTACTTTAGTTTTAAATAAATCCACAGTTTTTGAGCTAGCAGTAAAAATATGAATTTTAAACAGCAAAATCCCATGACTGATCAGAAAATTAAAACTTAATTAAGCATACTGACAATAGACTTAAAATTACTTATTTTCAATTAAAGCACAAGCCTTTCAAGGCATCTGCAATTTCCCTGTAGTATCCATATTGCTGTAAATCGCTATCTAGAATTAAAACAAAGAATTTCCAAGCTTATAAATAGCACTGAGACTATGCCTCCTCTTTTGCTATCTACGCTTACTAGCTAAAGGAAGCATCTAGAGTAGCTACTTCTATTCATTGTTAAAAATGCAAAGCCTCATAATGAAAATTGTGTGGGTGCAGATTGTCCCCTTGTGCTGTGTCATGCCATACAGCAGTCAACAAGTAATAAAGATATGTTTGAATTATCAAGTGATTTTGTAATTCTTCAAAATTCCTACCATTTTCTACTCTGCAATCGATATTTCAGAGATCAAACTTCAATCCACTTGCAACTGCAAAATGGTTGGTGTCTTTGATAGTCAAGCACTCATCTAATATCAATTAATGTCCAACAAAAGCTAAATTTTGATCACATATAACACTTTCGGTACTCCAAATTGCAAAAAAAAAAAGAGGGGGGGGTGCACAACTAGACGTTACAGCAGTCCCATACACAAAATTTCAAAGTTCTACAAGTAACTGTTTTTGAGTTATGTGGTACACACAGACGTTACGAAAAATCCATTTTACAATCGATTTTGGAATAAAGAGTCTTTTATTCTGTCTGTACCTTCAGATGCAATACAAAAAAATAATCAAAATGGGTTTGGCAATGGTCAAAATGAATATTTCCGATGAAATATGAAACTTGCAATTTTTTGTGACTACACTACTTCCTTTACTTTGTACAAGGAAGTAAAAATTATAATAAAATACATCCAATATCAGCTAGATATTTTTAACAAATTCTAGAATTTATAATTATATGTAAAACAATAGTAGCATATCAGCTACATTTAACCGCTTCCCTTACAAATTTTTTTTGAAAAAAATTGCAAAAAATCATCACATTTTTTTATTTTATTATTAAATACAACGAAACAAAACAGATCAAAATATGTAGGGTTTAAGTTGAAGTTTTAATGTTTTGAAGGTGTAAGAGCATTTAATTTTGGTTAGAGTAGACGTTAAGGTAGCCCTTGTATTATGGCGAAGTTGTTGTTTCATTTATCGCCAAGTTGTTGCTTCATTTATGGTAGCCTGAGTATGTTATGGGATCCCTATTGTGACATAATCGGGTACATGATTCTGGGAAATATTGAATCATGGGATGTTTTGTAAGCGCTTTTGTGGTGTGTGTCGGTTTTATTGTTTAGATGGTAGAATGGCTGAATGTAGTAAGATTAATTTGAAGTTTCTATACGATTTGGAAAGAAAGAGGAAAAGAGTGTTAATTGACTGGTGTGCAAATGAAGGTTTACTTAGTAGCCATTATAAGTGTCCTGTATGTAGGAAGGATATGCGTCTAGTCGAACATAAAACCAATTTAGATGGATTTGAATGGGTTTGTATGAAGAAAGGTTCAGATGTCGCGATGCCAATATATGGATTCAAGTTCAGATAATTTTAGGAAGTTTTGGGATGCTGTTGAGGAATTTTGTGTGCCACAGACTAAATACAAAGGAACTTCTAAATAGTGTAAGTGGATATTTGCTTTTTCTAGTGCTTAAAGGTATAACATGTTTTTCCTTTTCTATGTTATTTTATTGTTTGGTTTAAAATGTAGTTTACTGAGATTATGTATTTTTTGTTTGCCTGTACTATAGAATTGGGTGCTCCTTTAACTTTTGAAAATATATCGATGCGTACAAAGTGAAGGGAGTGTGCAATGCAAGTTTGTGAAATTCTTGGAATTTTTTTAAGTAAAAATAGGTCGACGTGTACATGATAAAGTTAAGGGAGTGCGCAATGCCATTTTTGTGCAATTTGGGGATTTTTTTTTAAGTGAAAGGATATATCATTTGGGGATTTTTTTTAAGGCTGATGTGTACATGGATACCGAGTTGTACTTTGTCTGTTATTTTGGCTTTGTGTAGCGGCGATGTTTGGCGCAAAAATCCCTGTTGTGCAAGCCAAAATAACATGTCAAAAGAATTGCACAAACTCAGTATCCATGTACCGCCAAAAATGGCCAAGGGGTACCCTAAGATATACTTTATCTTAATTTTAATATTAGTTTACTATCTCGAGTTATCTCGAGCAAACGAAAAAAGTTAAATATTACTCTTTGTACGATAGTTTTTGAAACATGGGACAACACAAAGTGATACCTGACATTCTACACTAGTATCTGTTTTTTTTTTTTTTTCTTTCTTACTGGCTTACCGCTGGAATATCTTTCATGGGAGCACAGAGTAAACTGTCTCGTTGGATTTGTTTCCCCCCCCCACACCTTTTCATAATCAATATCTGAAAAATCATCACTTTTGCTATCTTGAATCATCGCCATTATTTTATTTTTTTCAATGCATGTATCCTTCTTTGTACATTACTAATCCACTAGCCGATGTATATTATGCAATAGGAAAATACAAGAGCAGTCCCTCCAAAAGAACCCTGCAACCAACAAAATTTGGCAAACTGCCAATCAAAGCTGAATATTTCCTTTCATTTCCTCCAGGCCGAGAAAAACCATGATAAAATAAATTGTACTAACAAATTCTGCTTCGCCCGAGTTTTCACGGGATAATAATTAACTGCAATATATACGAACCCGAGATAACTCGGGATAATCAGACAAGTGGTTAATCATGAATTTTATTATATTACCTTAATTTAGCTAAATATTATTGAAAATTCTAAATTTTTTGATATGCATAAAATAACCTCACATAAAGCTTAACAATAATTTAATTATTAAGCCAACAATAACTTTATTATTTTATGCATTTTTAATATAAAATTTACAATTACTAAAAAATACTTGAAAATAATTCAAAAATAGGAATAAGCAGATTTAATTCCTATGTGCTTTAAAAAAAATAACATTTAAAAATAATAACACTTACCTAAAACTTTTGCATTATTCACAGAATCATCAGCACGATGACGTTTCTAAACATTACAGGAAAAAAAATTAAAGAATAACAAGGAAGAAAAAAAAGGAAAGAAATTTTTAAAAGTATATTTTATTTGATGTATAATGCACACACAGAAAAGGAAAATGCTTATTATTTTTCTCAACTTATAATACTTTTAAATTTACGAACCATTACAGGTCAATAGTAACTGAGCACAGTTTGAATTTTAAATACAGTATCAATGTCCATATACTACACTTCAGTAAAATGTATAAAATATCTGTATTTTTAACTATCAATACAGATTTTTAAAAATCAGTGTAGTTTAAGTTGAATTAACCAGCAAAACTTATCATTATTAGTGATAGACTACGAATGAAATTTGTATGTAGCACATTTATAATTACTGATAATGCCATTACATATGGAGAAAGTATTAACATATCCCTTACGATAACACTGCCTCCTTAACTGTACTTAGGAACATAATACATTGTATCATGTATCTTATAAATTACATTAATGCCTTTAATGTTCATAAAAATTATAGGTAGACACCTTATATGCTAAATTTAAACTACAACAATTAGATATATCATTAAAAAAATAAAGATTTAAATCAATCAGAAGTGTATTTACTACTCTTAAATCAGCATTTCTTAAGAAAAAATAAATACCTAAATAAAAATATGATATTTATCGCTAAATCAAATATGCCATTTTGAATGGCAATACTCTAGAAATTGGCTAGGAGGCATATAAGATAAATTAACCACTTATATGTTTTTCCTGAGACAGACTCGTCGATCTGAAAAGCATCATCAGTACCTTTGAACAATTTTTATGAATCAAATAATATAAAAAAATCAATGGCCATCTTAAATACCCAAATAATTGTGTAAAATAAGTGTATATATATGTTGTATTAGTATTCAAATTCAGTTCAAAACTAAAACTACTGACAACACTTTTCAAATCGATGAGACTGTCTCAGAAAAAACGCTAAAGTGATTAACCCTCTTAACCCCTTGGGTACATTTGACGTCTGAGAAACGTCATTCACTTTTTCCCCTAGGAGCGGATGACGTGTCTCAGATGTCAAACTAAAAATTAAACTCTTGGGTACATTTGACGTCTGAGAGACGTCATTCACTTGTTTTCCCTAGGAGCGGATGACGTGTCTACGTTATTTGAGGTTAAACACAATTCTGTTCATTTCATTGTAGCTTGTATCAGTCATAATAGAAGAGGCAATTACAGTATTTAGGTGAACATTATTCGCGATACACTGCCCACTATGTCAAAAACAAGGAATATATTTTGATAGTGATAGCGTGACTTTGAGAAATTAAAGAAGAATGTTTAGTGATCCGAATTACAATTACAATGAAAATACAAAGCAAGGTGATGAAGACGATATTGAACCAGAAAAAAATATGACAATATGAAACAAGGTTTCGAAGATGATCAGACGTCTGTTGAGCAGTGATAGTGAATCTTTTCGAGAACCAGAAAATGATGACAATTGTAATATAAAACCAAGGTTTCGAAGACACAAGATGTCTATCGAGCGTGATAGTGAATCTCCGTGAACCAGTATCAAGGAATGGATTTAGGAAGAGAAGAAAAAATGTAGCCGATTAAAAAAGTTTTCTGAAATATCTGGAATTAATCCTTTGAGCTGCATAGACTACGTTGTAATCTACGCCTTAGATGTTTGAAAAAGTCTTGAATGAAGATTTTTGGGACACTATAGAAGAAGAGACGAATAGATATGCCCGACATGGGATAGAAAAAGAAGGTTGTGTAACAAAACAACAAAAAAAAAAAAAAAAAAAAAACCACCAAAGGTGGTTTCCTGTAAGTTCTGATGAAAGCTTATATTGCATTATGATCTTGATCAACATCAAGATGTATATGATTGACATAAAGATGCATATGATTACATCTTGATGTCGCAAATGAAGAAGCCAAAAATGCATATGTATTGGTCAAAAAGACATGCAATAAGTACTCCAACTTTTGCTAGCACTATGGCACGCGATAGGTGTTTTGATATTTCAAGCTTTCCACATTTTACGGATAATGAAAAGGAAAATAAAGATGACAGAATAAGAAAGATTAGAAATATAGTGGATTACTTAAATAATAAATTTTGTTACCTTTATACTCCTGGTAGTGAAGTAGCTACTGATGAATCGCAACCAAAAATTATATTCATTCTACATGCAAATATTTTCTCAAATAAATCCATACCCAAGGGGTTAAACAGTATAATCATTTTTCTCCATTCTTCAGATTTGCTGTAATATGGTATGCAACATATTCCATCAAAATTGCACAAAATGGGCACAGTAAGATTCCTTCCTTGGAGTACCCGAAAATAATCCAATAATTATAATACAATCTATAGTTTTCTAAAAAATACAAAACAGAAAGTATATCTCATCCAGTATTCAGAAAATAAGCTTTATTTAAAAAAAAAATTTGAAAGCTTTCAGATTTTACATCCCTTTTACATTTTCAGATTTGGCATTCCCTGCTTATTAAGCATTCATCAGACATGTTCATGTCTCGTTGATTAGTAAACCTTCCACTTTACAGAGAAAACTGCCCAAAATGAATAATAGAGATAACCAATATTACATCAGCAAGATACAGACAACAACAAACATCCATGCTTTCATAGAATTTGAGGCCAGGTCCAACTATATTTCAGCTAGGAACACTAAACACCATACCGAGCAGAGCAGCAAAACATGAATACTGGTACACACATCAACAAAGAGGCGGCACCAAAACCAGTGCAAGTAAATCGGGTGGGAAAATTTTCCGATCTTGGGAAGACATCTAGTGGTAGGATTTGGGAACTGCAGAGCTTGCAATGGGCAGCAAAAAGTCTAGCATCGTCCCTAATCCTACTTTATATTTACACAGCATGCTGAAAACGGCCACTGAACGTATGAAGTCATGCTCTCATATGCCACGGTATGATTGATAAAACAAGATCCTGTCACAAGAAGTTCACAAATTGAGTTCAGCATGAAGACAAGAAATAAAGTCTCTTTCTGCAGTTGGACTAAACCCACATCAACTATGGTTAAAAACTGGAGGTCCACTAAATTTCAACCTCATCTGACAATCAGTAATATAAGATTCGATACATGAATTCCTTGAAATAACCTCATAGAATGAAATCAAAAGGTGTCAGATCTATGATAATGATGGACACATACAACAAAATACTGACATCCAATTCAGCAATATGAGTAGTCCTCATCCAACCAATCACAGACAGAAAAGTTGAAATGATAGAACCATATGTTACATAATACCAGTAAGAGTATGATATCAAGACAGCCAGTGGATGCATCGCAGAGCTTACACTACACAGAGATGATATACAGGATAACCTTGTTAAAAATTCCTGAAAACTAACCATGGAGTGAAAATATGTTACAATTTCAAATAATTATTAGATACAATATTGTGTAATTACACTGTTTCATTAAATAAGCAATGATTTTTAAAAAATTAAGGTACCGTAATTTCCGGAAGAAACGCCGCGGCATTTACGTGTTTAAAACTTAAATTTTCAGCGGGTGCGGCATTTATACCCATGCGGCGTTTAGGTGCACTGAAAATAAAATATTTCCTATGATGGTCATTGTACATAGTTTGGATGGCCTTGTTATTGTGCATAGACTGGTGCTGTTCCCACACAAAAGACCACTCAGTTGCTTTTTGCGAACGTCATTTTGTTTACATTCTTTCCCTTGAATGGACCTACATGCCTATTCACCCTAAACGAGATCTCAGAACAATAACATTCTTCCCCTTTCAATTAAACATTCTCATCAGTTGAATAGTCTCTCTCCTTGTGATCCGATGAATCTTCCAGGACCCATCCTCTCCCACCCCTTTTCTGCAATTTTTTCAAAGGCGGGACAAGACTCCACCTGCTTGCAAAAACGAACTCTGACTATTTCCCCTCAGCATGAAATGGATTTTTCAATACAGATCCCATCAGTTGGGTACAAGTACTGTTGGATAGTGTTAAAAAAGAAGGGAGCGGAAAATTTTTGAAAAAGTCTCTAAACGGCACAGAAAGCTATGCATTTCCACCTTTAATTTATTTTTGAGTTATGGTTTCTTTCATGCATTTCTTAACTGGTATGTCATATATCAGGACTTAGGTTGAGTTTTTGCATCTATACGGCCCACAACGATGTCACGCGCAATTTAATCTATTGCGGCGTTTCTGTGTAATTTTAGTTTTTTTCCCGCCATCTTTCTCGAGTGCGGCGTTTACGCTGATGCGGCCTTTCTTCCGGAAATTACGGTACTTGTTTGTTATAGCTGCTCGCGAGATTGAATCACCAATCAACCGAGATATCTCGTTAAAATCTGGCTGCGTGTTTTTATACCTTGCCACATGATCATATATTAGCACCAGTGGCATGTTCTTAATCCTTGCTATGTAATCCTATATTAGCACCGTGATGCATATTTGCTCTCACTGTGTGTTCTTATATTATTCATTTTTGATAAGGTTTCCAAATGAGCATAACGTTATTTATTTTAAAATATATTCATAGCTTTTTTGTATGAATATAACATTAACAATCTTTAATTTACCACATAATCAGGTGCATACCATATCATTTTTTCAAAAAAGAGGTCATTAACCTGACAAAAAAAGTATGCAAAAAACGCCACAATATGAAACTTTATGCTAACAATAAAACCATTTCAGGGTGCAAAGTTAAAAAAGTTGCAAAAAGAAGGGCCTCCATGTTAGAAATTGGTTCAGTGGCTCTAGAAGATCATTAGTCACTGCTATTAGATTTATGTACTATTTGGCAGAGAAGTTGATGTCCCATGAAATGGTATAACAAATAGCTTAACATGTGTGAAAGTGATGAATGGAACAATTACATGTGATAAAATGCCACCCAACAGTATAGTGGTTAGCGTTGCTAACTGCCATGCCGAAAGACTCAGGTTCGAATCTTGGAGAAAGAATGGATGTTT